AGCTGTTGCCAGGGGTGTCTCCAGGGTCAGACTGTTGCGGTGTGTAGTGTGCAGCTCTCCACATGATCTGCCCTCAGGTCTACACTGAGGTGGAACTAATAGAGCTTTAGTGGGAATCTCAAGTGGAGCACTGCACAGGGAAAGGGAATCATAAAATGCATATGCTTAGTTTTTAAATTGCTATGTGACAAGTGTCTATGAAATTAGCCGGAGACAACACACCCAGTAACAATCATAGTTTTTCTTCATAGTATGTACTGGACCCATGTGCATTGTGTGCGTAACCTGATTAGGGCGTTCACCCACGGTGCTCAGAATGACAGAAATGACATTTAGAAAATGGTAATTCATATTAACAGAACATGCAAGTCGAGGTTGCAATGATGTGGGGTCCTTCTTACCGAATTCTGATGTGCACTTTGAACATGTTAGAATAACTGTCCACATTGACGAGTAATGAACAGCAAAATCACTAGCCTATGTCAATCTACTATAGTAGAAAAGTTAAGGCTACCTATTCTATTGGTCAGCTTGTCGAGAAAGAAATAGCCTATTCCAAACAGACTCTGGGACAGTTGTGGGACGATAGATCCAACCAGTAGGCCTAGGCAACATTTAATTTGGATTTTTTGTAGCAATGAGTGATGCAACAGATCAGACCATTTAACTTAACATGTTGATTAACTATTATTTCTTCACATTATAAGGGCAGCAATGTGCACAAGGCAGTAGACTATGTGAAGGTTTGTTCCATAATGCAATTAGCGAGAAAACACCATTGTCAAAATGGCACCACACATACGAGCGGTTTCACGTGACAGAGATGAAAATATCCATTTAGAAAGAGAGGAGATCTAATAGGCTACTTTGAAGCAAGGTAAGACATGCCTCATATGTATTAAAACCTTCAGGTTTCAAACAATGAAGTATATGTTTTAAAAATGCATACTGCCTCCAGCTCATTGCAAAGTGGTGTGTGACGCACTGATGAAGCCTGCCTTCCGTTGCCGTTTGATGCAGCGTTCAAAACAACTGGGAACTCGGAAAACGAGCTCCAAGTCCGACTGGGAAAAATCGTTCAACGGTCATCCAACTCGGAACTCCAACTCTGGAACTCGGGCCTCTTTCTAGAGTTTTGACTTTCTGACCTGAAGATCACTGACGTCATGATTTGACCTCCTATTTTTCAGAGTTCCCAGTAGTCTTGAAGGCACCACAAGATGCTGCAGCAGCTCTTGCGCTGTTTGACAGATTTTCCACTCAAAGGCTATAGATCCATTTTCCATCTTACAAATTAGGCATAAGTAAAGGCTTTGATTTCTGGATAAACAGATGGAAAAGGGTTCTTGGAAAACGTACATAAAAAATACATAAAAACACAATGCGGCGAGCACACCCCAATCCACTTCGATGGGGCTGCAGTGGAGCAGGTCGAGAGCTTCAAGTTCCTCGGTGTCCAAATCGATAAGAACTTAAAATGGTCCACACACACGCACACAGTCGTGAAGAAGGCGCAACAGCACCTCTTCCCCTCAGGATGTTGAAAAGGTTTGGCATGGGCCCTCAAATCCTCAAAGTTCTACGGTTGTACCATTGAGAGCATCTTGACTGGCTGCATCACTGCTTGGTATGGCAATCGCACCGCCCTTGATCGAATGGCACTACAGAGGGTGGTGCGGACAGCCCAGTACATCACTGAGGCCGAGCTCCCTGCCATCCAGGAACTCTATATCAGGCGGTGTTAAATGAAGGGCCGGAAAATCATTAAAGACTCCAACCACCCAAGCCGTAGACTCTCTGCTTCCGCACGGCAAGCGGTAACGGTGCATCAAGTCTGACACCAACAGGCTCCTGAACAGCTTCTATCCCCAAGCCATAAGACTGCTAAATAGCTAACTAAATAGCTAACTAAATGGCTACACGGACTATCAGAGTTGACCTTTGTATTTTATTCGTATTTTTGTACTGTCTCTATGCACACTCACAGGGCCCTACACACTACACACACTGATACTCCAACACACATACAAACACTCACTCCACCATTTGCTCACACACGCATAATATGCACATACATTTATACTGACTCTACACACACCCACACATACAATCATCATATGTGCTGCTGCTACTCTGTTTATCATATATCCTGATGCCGAGTCACCTTACCCCTATGCAGATCTACCTCTATCGATCCAGTATCCCTGCACATTGTAAATATGGTGCTGGAACTGACCCTGTATACAGGATGCTTACTTACTTTATCGTGTTCTTCTTATTTTTATATCTTGTGTTTTTGTTCTACCTTGTTATTTTTAGTATTACTTTGTTATTGAATACTGCATTGTTGGGGTTAGAGCTGGCAAGAAAGGCATTTCAATGTACTTGTGTATGCTTTTGTTCAATTTAGTCTGTAGTCAAAGAAGATTTTACTTCTGTTTAAATAGTCTGGTTTTAAAGGGAAATGGAAATGTTATTAAAACTACCAGAGAGCCCATTCTGGAAGTTTGAAGAGTATATTGTCACAATCAATGTCAAAAAATTAACTAAATCAAAAAGGTTTTGAGATATTCGTATTAATATATGTAATGTTGAATGAATAATGTTTTTTCTTTTTTTCAGACTAGACATACTCCGTACAGTGCCTTCGGAAAGTATTCAGACCCCTTGACTTTTTCCACATTTTATTACGTTACAGCCTTATTCTAAAATGGATTAAATAAATACAAATCCTCAGCAATCTACACACAATATCCCATAATGACAAAGCAAAAACTGATTTGTAGAAATTTTTGCAAATGTATTCAAAAAAACAAACAGAAAAACCTTATTTACATAAGTATTCAGACCCTTTGCTATGAGACTCAAAATTGAGCTCAGGTGCATCCTGTTTCCATTGATCATCCTTGAGATGTTTCTACAACTTGATTGGTGTCCACCTGTGGTAAATTTAATTGATTGGACATGATTTGGAAAGGCACACACCTGTCTATATAAACGTCCCACAGTTGACAGTGCATGTAAGAGCAAAAACCAAGCCATGAGGTCGAAGGAATTGTCCGTAGAGCTCCGAGACAGGCTTGTGTCGAGGCACAGATCTGGGGAAGGGTACCAAAACATTGCTGCAGCATTGAAGATCCCCAAGAAAACAGTGGTTCCATCATTCTTAAATGGAAGAAGTTTGGAACCACCAAGACTCTTCCTAGAGCTGGCCGCCCGGCCAAACTGAGCAATTGGGGGAGAAGGGCCTTGGTCAGGGAGGTGACCAAGAACCCGATGGTCACTCTGACAGAGCTTTAGAGTTCTTCTGTGGAGATGGGAGAACCTTCCAGAAGGACAACCATCTCTGCAGCACTCCACCAATGAGGCCTTTATGGTAGAGTGACCAGACGGAAGCCACTCCTCAGTAAAAGGCACATGACAGCCTACTTGGAGTTTGCCAAAAGGCACCTAAAGACTCTCAGACCATGAGAAACAAGATTATCTGGTCTGATGAAACCAAGATTGAATTCTTTGGCCTGAATGCCAAGCGTCACGTCTGGAAAAACCTGGCACTATCCCTACGGTGAAGCATGGTGTTGGCAGAATCATGCTGTGGGGATGTTTTTCAGCTTCAGGGACTGGGAGACTGAATACTTATGTAAATGTGATATTTCCTTTTTTTTTGTTTCATATAAATTTGCTAAAATTGATAAAAATATGTTTTTGCTTTGTCATTATGGGCTATTATGTGTAGGTTGATGAGGGCGGGAAACAATTTAATCCATTTTAGAATAAGGCTGTAACATAACAAAATGTAGAAAAAGTCAAGGGGTCTGAATACTTTCCGAATACACTGTATATTGTATTCCGGACTCTGACATTGCTCATTTTAATATTTCAATGTTTCTTAATTCCTTTCTTAAAATGTTTGGGATTTGCGTGTATTGTTTTGTATTGTCAGGTATTACTGCACTGTTGGAGCTAGGAACATAAGCATTTTGCTACACCTGCGATAACATCTGCTAAATATGTGTACGCTACCAATACAATTTGATTTGAAATATTATTTGTTATAGTTGAAAAAATTGATTTAGCAAGCAGTAGGCATTTAGAATAAAATTGGGAGTGGAGCTTTTATAATTACTAGGTCTGTGACGATACCAGTATCGCCCCTTTTTTTAAATGGCAAAAATAGAAATATGAAGCAGACCAAACTCTTTGGTCCTTTTAAAAACCTGCAGTATGTAAAATATTGTGTGCTAATGCTTGGAAAATAAATGTGACTCTGGATGATAACATAATCATATTTGTTTCCAGGGCTGTTTTCCTAAAGAAGTTAAATCCGCTTCGTGTTTTGTTTCCTTGCCATGATACTAACGAGTATCGCGATACTGGTATTGTCCTGGCACTAATAGTTACGTGATGACATCACATGCCCGCGTTCCTTCAGAATTATTAGGCGATCATAATTCATTCAAAAAACACTGTTTCCATCATTTGTCATAATAAAGAAAGTTCAACAAAATAAAAATGAACCCCTGTTGAACAGATAAAAATGATCTTTAGAACATTTCTTCTGAAGTTGCCGTTTACATTACCCATGTCACAATGTTATTTTTTTTTGTTGCAACATTGCTTTTGTTGAATAAACCAGCGCCTGTGTCTGTACGAGTTGCTAAGTTGCTACAGTCAATGTAGCCTATAAATCATTTCAGGTTTTGTGGGTAACCATTATTTTCATACAGTTGAAGAACAGTACATGGTTTTTGAAATGAGGACAGATCTACAATGCTGTCATTCATATAATGCGGTTTAGACTAATTAGTGTTCATGAGTTTTCTATTATCTCACTCTGACAACACATTTTTACTGGCTTATTTCTTATACGATCTGAGCAATTGTGAGAGGTTGTGTTTAAGTCCCAACTCATGTAACATTAGATGAAACTACAGTACCTGTGGTGTCTCCGAAAGTGAATTTCTAACATGGGTTCTCTCAATTCACACTCTCTGTAGATTATGAAGATTAGAGGTTCTTCTCTTAATTCTCCCTCTCTCTCTTTCCCTCTCTCCTCCTCAGACTCCCAACGCTCCCATTTGTCTTCCTTCACCATGAAGCTTATGGACAAGTTCCACTCTCCCAAAATCAAAAGGACACCCTCAAAGAAAGTCAGTAAGCCACCTTTAGAACTTAGCGTGAAGACGGAAAAACCTGCTAACAAGGTTTGTTAAATGTCTGATTCTCCCTCCTACATAGGCCTCAAGCTTTTGCTGTGTCCATCTCATAAGTGCAATTAGTTGTTCATTTATATCCTACAAGAAACCAGAGAATGAGACTGTGAAGGCAGTGACAAAGCCTCACAATATGCAATAATCACGTAACCAAGATGCACCACCATGTTCACGGTTGCTCTCACGTTGGCTTCCTTTTGCAGAGTCTGAGTCGGTTAGAGGAGCATGAGAAAGAAGTGGTCAGTGCCTTGCGTTACTTCAAGACCGTCATTGACAAGATGGTGGTGGACAAAAAGGTGCTGGAGATGTTACCCGGGTCTGCCAGTAAGGTCCTGGAGGCCATCCTGCCTTTAGTCCAAGTGGATCCAAGGATCCAACACAGGTGAGTCTGGCCCAGGAGGATATCTGGAGCTCACCCATTAAGTGTTTTAAGACAACGCTTCAATCGACATGAGACGAGGTGCAGCCAAATGTCATTTAAGGTTGATTTATTTGTATTATAGGGTTGAAATCATAAGAAACCTTCAAAGCCGAATACAGAATCAGTGTTTTTGTCAGTCTGTTAGCCTAATCTTTCCTCTTGGTTGTTCCCAGCTCAGCGGTGTCCTCTTGTCTGAACCGTGTGTACCAGAGTCTGGGCAATCTCATCCGCTGGTCCGACCAAGTCATGCTGGAGGGGGTCAACCTGGAAGATAAGGAAACCATCGTTACCGTCACCATTGTGATCAAGGCAGTGCTCGACGGTGTTAAGGTAAAGTTGGCATACCAAAAAAACAAGCGAACATGAAATATGAGACGTCACAAATGATTTGTAACAATTAACGCATGTTATGTTTTTGGGGGAAACAGTAGCTAGTCGAGTACTTGGTACTTTTTGGGTAAGAGATGTTGAAAGTGGCTGTGAAGTTGGCTAGCATTTATTAACTGCACCCGGTGATTGTCCACAGGAGCTGGTGAAACTGACCATAGAGAAACAGGAGCATCCTTCCCCCACGTCTCCTGTCAAACCAGTGCCACCGGCTGCCCTGACTGAGAGGTGAGTGAGCCACAGAGGATATCAATCACACTCCTCCACTTTAACCTGTACTGAACACATCTTACACTGTGAGGAAATTGTACACAATGTTAACAACACATGTATACAACTCGTATACCCACAGTGCTGCAGAGCCACCTGCCAAGGAGAAGGAGAGTCTGGACAAGAGCGCAGCCACGACCCAATCTACGGAAGTCTTGACTGAACCCACTGAGGAGGAAGCAGAGGAGGTGGCCCCACCAAAACCCCCTCTCCCTGGCGTAAAGATGTCTGAACACAAGTAAGAGCTCATTTGATGGAGATGATGTCCCTTTCATAGTTCCAACAAACAGTAGTTCAGTGGTTCCCAAACTGTGGGGCACGCCTGGGTTGGTGGGGGGAGTAAGTTGAAAGCCTTTTTTTTTTTATGAACTCAGTTGGCCTTACAACTTACTCTTGAAAGTTGTAATAGTAGAATGCATAAGGTGCAATTTCGAAATTGGGTGGTGCATCGGCATGAGGTTGCATGGGTCGCTAGGTGGGGGTCGTTACTACACCAATAAATGACAATATTCATCTATACCTTTGCCACCTAGGAAATTTGTGTGACCGGGGGGGATTGGAAGTTTAACCCTTCCTAAGATCAGTTTGTGATAATGACCTTTCCGTTCAGTCATTGACTACTCTCAGAACATTGATGTCACAGCACAAGTCAGAGTCAAGTCTGAAGTAAATGCAGTAGAGCTCTAGCCACGTCACAATTCACTGTTTAGCAGAGCTCAGCACACAGCTCTATTGAAGCCTCCGCCAACAACAATTTATCACCAAAAAAAAACGTTCAGCGCCTTCAGGAAGTATTCACACCCATTTTACATTTACATTTTACGTCATTTAGCAGACGCTCTTATCCAGAGCGACTTACAGTTAGTGAGTGCATACATTATTATTATTATTATTAATTGTGCGCCGCCCCATGGGTCTCCCGGTCGCGGCCAGCTACGACAGAGCCTGACTTTTTCCAGATTTTGTTGTGTTACAAAGTGGAATTAAAATGGATTTGTTCTTTTTGGTCAATGATCTACATAAAATACTCTAATGTCAAAGTGGAACAAAAATGCTAACTTTAAAAAATATATATAGGAAAATAAACACCAATATATTTTGATTAGACAAGTATTCAACCCCCTGAGTCAATGAATGTTATATTCACTTTTTGGCAGCAATTACAGCTGTGAGTCTTTTTGGGGTAAGTCTCTAAGACAGGGGTCTCCAACCCTGTTCCTTGAGAGCTACCCTCCTGTAGTTTTTCACTCCAACCCCAGTTGTAACTAACCTGGTTCAGCTTATCAACCAGCTAATTATTAGAGTCAGGTGTGCTAGATTAGCTTGGCGTGAAAACCAACAGGACAGTAGCTCTCCAGGAACAGGGTTGGAGAGCCCTGCTCTAAGAGGTTTGCAAACCTGGATTGTACAATATCTGTCAATTTTTTTTATTTTTTATTCTTCAAGCTCTGTGTAGTTGGTTGTTGATCATTGTTAGACAGCCATTTTCAAGTCTTTCCATAGATGTTCACGCCGATTTAAGTCATAACTGTACCTAGGCCACTCAGGAATGTTCAATGTCGTCTTAATAAGTAACTCCAGTGAATAATTGGCCTTGCGTTTTAGGTTATTGTCCTGCTGAAAGGTGGATTTGTCTCCAAGTGTCGGTTGGAAAGCAGACTGAACCAGGTTTTCCTCTAGGACTTTTCCTGTGCTTAGCTCTGTTCCTTTTCTTTTTATCCTAAAAAACTCCCTAGTTCTTGTCGATGACAGGCATACCCATAACATGATGCAGCCACCACCATGTTTGAAAATATGAAGAGTGGTATTTGCCCCAAACATAATGCTTTGTATTCAGGACAAAAAGTTAATTTCTTAGCCAAATTTTGTGCAGTATTACTTTAGTGCCGTATTGCAAACAGGTTGCATGTTTTGGAATATATTTATTATGTACAGGCTTCCTTCTTTTCACTCTGTCATTTAGGTTAGTATTGTGGAGTAACTACAATATTGTTGATCCATCCTCAGTTTTCTCCTATCACAGCCATTAAACTTTGTAACTGTTTTAAAGTCACCATTGGCCTCATGGTCAAATCCCTGAGTGGTTTCCTTCCTCTCCTGCAACTGAGTTAGGAAGGACGCCTGTATCTTTGTAATGACTGGGTGTATTGATACACCATCCAAAGTGTAAATAATAACTATACCATGCTCAAAAGGATATTTAATGTCTGCTTCTTTTTATTTTTTGTATTTGTATCAACCAATAAGTGCCCTAATTTGTGAGGCATTGGAAAACCTCTGGTCTTTGTGTTTGAATCTGAAATTTACTGTTTGACTGAGGGACATTACAGATAATTGTGTGTGGGGTACAGATATGGTGTAGTCATTCAAAAATCATGTTAAACACCGTTATTGCACACAGTTAATATGCAACTTATTATCTGACTTGTTAAGCACATTTTTACTCCTGAAGTTATTTAGGCTTGCCATAACAAAGGGGTTGAATACTTATTGACTGAAGATATTTCAGCTTTTCATTTGTAATTCATTTGTAAAAACAAAAAAAATAAACAAATAAAAAAACACAATTCCACTTTGACATTATAGGGTATTGTGTGTAGATCAGTGACACAATCTCAATGTAATCTATTTTAAATTCAGGCTGTAACACAACAACATGTAGAAAAAGTCAAGGGGTATGAATACTTTCTGAAGGCACTGTTTACCGCTCATAACGTTGAATGTGCAAAGAACAAAGTGCTTGTCGTTCATCTCTTTACAAGAAGAAAAGAGTGGTAGCTGGGTAACTGTGTGTTATAAATAGTCTTGATTTTTTAGAAGGCTTTATAGTCTTTGAAGGGTGTAGTAAAGAGAGGTGTCAGAAGTTAGACTTCCGCTGGTGAGGAAGCTGTCGCAGCACCGTCTCTGAGGCACTTTTCTGAGAAACTGGGCTCGGTAGAGGCTGGTGAGCTCACAGCCAGAGAGGGACGAAAAGGGATGGAAGGTGACCACATTAGATTCTAGAGCCCACCACACACACGCTGGACAGCAGCACATCCAGCCACTTAGAAATTCGGGGTTGGGTTAAATGTGGAAGACACATTTCAGTTGAATGCATTCAGTTGTACAACTGACTAGGTATCCCCTTTCCCTTTCCCTAAATACAAAAGGCTCTCTGCCTTTCCTTGTGCTCCGATCATACAAACACTAACGCTCTGAATTTCACCTTGCCGGCAGCAGGTGCGAGTAGCTCTCTGCACCAGTCTCTGTGTCTTACGCAGCAGCACACTGCAGATTTTGTCTCTTTTTTTTTGTTGTTGGTGTAATTCTTTTTTATTTTCCTCTTCCCTGGGGGCTGTGTCATTGACCCTTGCCTTACTAGCATAGAGGATAACCTCCTCCTCCTCCTCCTCACCACCACAGCTGCCTGCTTGCCCTGCATTCTCCACATGCCCTCTTGTCATTGGGCCATCTGTGTGCACTGCGGTGTGGAAACAGTTCAGTAGCTGCTGCTATCTGTTTGGAGGGGAAAAAGCAGCCAGGCAGTGACACACGCACTACACACTTTTCCATTGTGCTGCTACTACAGAAGGCTCTCGGAGAGTGTCAGCTATTGTCCTCCTAATACAGTTGAAGCCGGAAGTTTACATACACTCAGAGGTGGGTAGAGTAGCCAAAAATTGTACTCAAGTAAAAGTACTGTTACTTCAGAATAATATGACTCAAGTAAAAGTAAAAAGTAGTCATCCAAATAATTACTTGAGTAAGAGTAAAAAAGTACTTGGTGAAAAAACTACTCAAGTACTGAGTAACTGTTGAGTAACGTCTGATTTATTTTTTAACACAAGACAACAATCAGACAGACAAAAATACAAAATAATCATCTTTAGGCAAATTATAGTTCATCCAATCAATAAAATTAATTAAAATGAATTACAAAATAGCTTAAATTAAAATAATTCAGGTAAATTCAAGTACTTAAAAAATAAAATAATAAAAAATAAAAAATAAATAAGCACAAGTAACACACATTTCCAAACCTTTATACTTTTTTTACCAGGCAGAACTAGAACGAGGCAGCCCATAAACTCTCATAAACTGCGTAACGACCTCATTGTAGCCTAATGTAGCGGAGTAAGAGTACAGTTTCTTCTTCACAAATCTACTCAAGTAAAAGTAAAAAGTATAGTGATTTAAAACTACTCCTAGAAGTATAATTTTTTCAAAAACTTACTCAAGTAAATGTAACGGAGTAAATGTAACTCGTTACTACCCACCTCTGCATACACTTAGTTTGGAGTCATTAAAACTCGTTTTTCAACCACTCCACACATTTCTTGTTAACGAACTATAGTTTTGGCAAGTTGGTTAGGACATCTACTTTGTACATGACACAAGTAATTTTTCCAACAATTGTTTACAGACAGATTATTTCACTTATAATTCACTGTATCACAATTCCAGTGGGTCAGAAGTTTACATACACTAAGTTGACTGTGCCTTTAAACAGCTTGGAAGATTCCAGAAAATGATGTCATGGCTTTAGAAGCTTCTGATAGGCTAATTGACATCATTTGAGTCAATTGGAGGTGTACCTGTGGATGTATTTCAAGGCCTACCTTCAAACTCAGTGCCTCTTTGCTTGACATCATGGGAAAATCAAAAGAAATCAGCCAAGACCTCAGAAAAAAGTTGTAGACCTCCACAAGTCTGGCTCATCAATTACCAAATGCCTGAAGTTACCACGTTCATCTGTACAAACAATAGTACGTACAAACATCATGGGACCACACAGCCGTCATACCGCTCAGGAAGGAGACGCGTTCTGTCTGCTAGAGATGAAAGTACTTTGGTGCGAAAAGTGCAAATCAATCCAGGAACAACAGCAAAGGATCTTGTGAAGATGCTGGAGGAAACAGGTACAAAAGTATCTATATCCACAGTAAAACAAGTCCTATATCAACATAACCTGAAAGGTCGCTCAGCTCTGCTCCAAAACCGCCATACAAAAAGCCAGACTACGGTTTGCAACTGCACATGGGGACAAAGATCGTACTTTTTAGAGAAATGTCCTCTGGTCTGATGAAACAAAAATAGAACTGTTTGGCCATAATGACCATCGTTATGTTTGGAGGAAAAGGGGGATGGCTTGCAAGCTGAGGAACACCATCCCAACCTTGAAGCACGGGGGTGGCAGCATCATGCTGTGGGGGTGCTTTGCTGCAGTATGGACTGGTGCACTTCACAAAATAGATGGCATCATGAGGAAGGAAAATTATGTGGATATATTGAAGCAACATCTCAAGACATCAGTCAGGAAGTTAAAGCTTGGTCACAAATGTGTCTTCCAAATGGACAATGACCACAAGCATACTTCCAAAGTTGTGGCAAAATGGCTTAAGGACAACAAAGTCCCGGAAGACCCGGAAGTACTTAGTTATTATTGCCTGCTTCACAGCGGCATCATAAGAAACATGGCAGCCACAATGGCCAGGAACGTCCCTGGCTTGATGAGGCCGTTGACTCTGTTTGCCAGGGGGCAGCAGATATGTCGGTTCTCCACCATAATCCATCGTCAAACCGTCCAGAGGTCTCTGCTCACTACTCCTACATGGGCTTCTCTGTCCGCCAAAGCCTTCCAGACACCCAAACCGAGCATCCTGCAACGGGTTGCGCCTCTCATTCCCAGCCTGGTCCAGCAGCCAATCAGAAACCTCACGTATATCAGCCTGAAAAAGGGGAAGAGGAAGTCTGTGAAGTCAGTGGTGAAGAGGTTCATGCGGCTGCACTGTGGCCTTTGGATTAGACGCAAGGCTGGATACAAGAAAAAACTGTGGAAGAAGTTGCCTGCCAGAAAGAAGCGTTTAAGGGAGCATGTGTTTTGTAACAAAACACAGATTAAGCTCTTGGACAAAATGACCACTAAATTCTGGAAGAGGAGGAACTGGTTTGTCAATGATCCCTACAAGAAATATCATGAACATGTCAACCTAAAAGTCTAATGGCTTGAAATGGCCTTCCCACCCTGAGACGTATGTAATTTGCAATTGATTAATCAAATTTCATTGTACACAGATGAGATCAAGAACATTGTTCACAGCATCATTTTGGTCAACGTAGAGTGAAACGCAGATTTGGGCAAATTTGCAATTGATAAATCAAATGGAAATATCACTGTCTTTTCAAAGTCGTTGAATAAATTATCGCAAATGCTTCTTGAATTGTATTACAAATTTAAATATAATACAAAAAAAATACATAAGCTATGGCATCACATTGTCTCATGTGGCTCAGTTGGTAGAGCATGGCGCTTGCAACACCAGGGTTGTGGGTTTGATTCCTTACTGTAAGTCGCTCTGGATAAGAGCGTCTGCTAAATGACAAAAAAAAAAAAAAAAAAAAGTCAGTATTGGAGTGGCCATCACAAAGCCCTGACCTCAATCCTATAGAAAATTTGTGGGCAGAACTGAAAAAGCGTGTGCGAGCAAGGAGGCCTACAAACCTGACTCAAGTAACACCAACTCTGTTAGGAGGAATGGGCCAAAATTCACCCAACTTATTGTGGGAAGCTTGTGGAAGGCTACCCGAAACGTTTGACCCAAGTTAAACAATTTAAAGGAAATGCTACCAAATACTAATTGAGTGTATTTAATTTTCTGACCCACTGGGAATGTGATGAAAGAAATAAAATCTGAAATAAATCATTCTCTCTACTACATTTCACATTCTTAAAATAAAGTGGTGATCCTAACTGACCTAATACTGGGAATTTTTACTAAGGTCTACTAGAGCTGCATGCTTGGCTTTTGGAATACTGGACAGTGGGAACATTGCACACTGCCTCATATTGAAATTATGCCCCCTTCTCCTCCCCCTCCAGTCCTCCAGCTCTCCCTCCAAAGAAGCGCCAGTCGGCCCCCTCCCCCACCCGGGTGGCAGTGGTGGCCCCCATGAGCCACGCCACCAGTGGCTCCAGTCTTCCCATGGGCATCGGCCTCCACAAACAGGTACAGTAGCTTTGTTGCGCTGTTTACTTTTTTTGTGCCATTGTGTCTTTTCAACAAATGCTCTGACAAACGTGTTGACGAACGCCGTGGCTAATAACGGGTCTGGTCCCGCTCTCTGGTCGGCAGGAGTACGAGGTGGACGCGTTGCAGCGGCGCTTCTCAGGGGGCAGCCGTTCGTACGGAGGGGAGTCGCCGCGCCTGTCGCCCTGCAACAGCATGGGCAAGCTGAGCAAGTCGGACGAGCAGCTGTCCTGGACAGTGGACAGTGGACAATGTTCACGCAACACCAGCTGTGAGACTCTGGGTGAGAGCCTGACACACACAAAACCCATACACGGACACACGAAAACAAGAAACACACACGACACAAACACATAAAACGTACAGTACATGTTTCAGCACTGGCTTCAAAGTGGACAGATTAATGTATTGATGGTTAGAGAGGAGCCACTATGAGCCCAGCATGAGAGGGCTGTCTCTTTGATAAGGTGTGTGTGCACCTCGGTCGCAACCGGGTCACCACAGGTTGTCTTAATGTGGCAGCCGCAGTGGAAACAAGCTGCTGCTGATGCGTGTAATGAATCAACAAATGCCGGCAGGGGCTTCCTGTTCCTGCCGCCTCCAGCAGCACAGAGCGAGGCTTACGAGCTGTGACCACAATCCTGTGAGCAAAGAGACAAGACACAGAGGCTGCATCTCAATAGTCTTTAAGCGGCCTCCTCTCCTCGTCTCCTCTCCTTCATCTGCACTGGTCTGGAAATATCGGATAGCAGAGGGGAAAGCAATATGGTGGATGCCCACTAGGAATTTGCCTACTTTTAGCTGTCCAAATTCTTTCACATCTGTGCAGATGAGAGGAAGGAGACGATGAGAGGAAGCCATGTGACACTATTGAAGTGCAGCCTCAAAAAGTCTAAGCTGTAAAACCATGGCGGTCACATTGTGGGACCAGGGATAAGCAGTGAGAGTTGTCGTGGGGATACCAACGTTGCACCAAGTCATCCAGTGGCACTTTTCTCAGACGAAGGAAAAGCGAGCCGTGTTGTGCCTTCTCCATTGTGCCACGGATCAATTTCACACACGGTGCTCGAACCTCAAAACCAACGCCTTTGTGAAATCTGAATTCTCCCCCCAATTAAATTGGTATTCGCCAATGTCTTAGTTGTGTTCTTATTGTTCAGAGTGGTGTTTGTAGAGAAAAGTGCTCATTATGCCGAAGTCACAGTGAGGTTTGTTTTCAGTGCTCTGCCCAGTGACTCACCTGTCCCTCTCTGTATCTTCTCCCCCACCACAGACACCACAGACCACTACGACCCGGACTACGACTTCCTCCATCAGGACCTGTCCAGCCTGGAACAGATGCCTTCCCTGCCGGTGGGGGGGTGCCTCAGCCCCCTGCCCGAGTCCCACAGCGAGTCCTCCTCCCCCTCCCCGTGCCCTGGCCCCGTCCCACCACTGGCCCAACCCCACTTCAGCCCTGCTTACCCCTCCCCCTCCCCCCAGCCGTCTCTCCAGGGCTCCTCCATGTCCCCCCTCTACTCCCGCATGACTCCCGCCCTGCCGCCCCCCGCCCTGCCGGAAAAGAAGCGCCGCAGTGGCGCCTGCTCGGGCCTCTCCGACGGCTCCTACTCGGGCTCCTCCTGGCGCGTCTCCTTCGAGCGTCACCCGTCCCAGTATGACAACCTCATGGAAGACGACATGCCGCCTGTGCCTCCCTTCCCCCTGTTCACGCCTGGCGTCTCGCCCATGACCCTGTGCCACGCCGCCGATGGGTTTGTGTCTGAGTTCAGTGCCAGCGAGACGGCAGACGTCCCCCAGAGTCCACCCCCACTCCCAGAGAAGAAGAGCCGCCACAGTGAGTATCTGAATCACAGCAAGTATTACACAAACTCTGCTGATACCAGAGTTTAGAAACCCAGGGTTTAGCCCCAAATACACCGGACTAGGTCGCTTAGTTATGTCTGAAAAACACATGCATGCCTCCTGCTGTACTAGAATGATAAAACCACAGAATGAAATATAACTTATATTTTCTCTCTCTCTTTAACATTGGGGTACCTAGTTTTATCCCAGTATAAGGTGTGGCTGGCTTCAGACTAGACACCTTATTCGCCTGGTGTGTCTGTCTGATACATGCTCGTAATCCCTGGCAGGTCTGCCATACTTATGTTCCAGAAGGATGTGATTTTTCCACCTTGCTCTAAACCCTCTGTCTGCTGCTAGCTGGACCATCACAATGTTGGACGGGACATGCTGCTGCTGAAGAGAGAGCAGTTGGGAGTTCTATGCTCTTCATGTTAGTGCTGCGGGCTGGCCCTCGGGCTCTGTGCATGTGTGTGGATGAGTCCACAGCTGAAAGTCCTGCCATCAGTGTGTTCTCACACACACACAGGCCTGGAGGGAAACACTGATGTCAGCCCTGTGAGCGCACATGGAATAATACCTTTGTTGATGGATTGGGTTGGTGAATAGAGGAGTGGATTCTCCCGGCCTTGCAGAAAATGAGCATGTGCTGAATGACCCTCTCAGCGGAGGTGTTGAGGGGTGGCCTTAATGATGTAATAATCAGCACATTCCCCATATGGAGCATCACTATATAGAGCTTACAGCCAGGACCAGCATGATTGTGCTGCACTTGTGCCTCCACTGTTCTCATAACTAAATGGTGACGGTTTATGCTAGGGCGGAACCCATTTAGTCAACTTGTCGATTGTTTGGTCGACAGGCTATTGGTCGACTGAGATATCTTTAGTTGGGCAGTTGCAATTAATTATATTTTTTTCATGGTGCACAAGACACCTGTCGGATTCGCGCCTGTCTCAGTGGACTAATCCATTGCGGATGGCGCAGTCCATCACTCTGAAATTGTATATGGTTATATTATGTAAATATAATGGTGCAACGCTAATAAATCAAATATAATTTTATAACAAATGGTCTTTCTCTCGCGTTGGATACAGTCGCTGTCCGCGGTTCTGAAACATAATCTTCAGTGCGCCTTTCCCTATGTGCATAATAGCAAAGTTAACCAACATATTAGGATTGAGAACAATGCGGCGGAGGCAGTAGCAGCAGAGACGAGGAAACAGCCCTTGCCTAATTGTCTAAGAAAATTGAGGAGAGAGGAAACCCCAACTTAATTAGGTCTATAATCAATAGCCTAACTGTTAAATGTGCCTGGCTTTATAAATCATCCATATACAGTGGGGGAAAAAAGTATTTAGTCAGCCACCAATTGTGCAAGTTCTCTCACTTAAAAAGATAAGAGAGGCCTGTAATTTTCATCATAGGAACACGTCAACTATGACAGACAAAATGAGATTTTTTTTCTCCAGAAAATCATATTGTAGGATTTTTAATGAATTTATTTGCAAATTATGGTGGAAAATAAGTATTTGGTCAATAACAAAAGTTTCTCAATACTTTGTTATATACCCTTTGTTGGCAATGACACAGGTCAAACGTTTTCTGTAAGTCTTCACAAGGTTTTCACACACTGTTGCTGGTATTTTGGCCCATTCCTCCATGCAGATCTCCTCTAGAGCAGTGACGTTTTGGGGCTGTCGCTGGGCAACATGGACTTTCAACTCCCTCCAAAGATTTTCTATGGGGTTGAGATCTGGAGTCTGGCTAGGCCACTCCAGGACCTTGAAATGCTTCTTACGAAGCCACTCCTTCATTGCCCGGGCGGTGTGTTTGGGATCATTGTCATGCTGAAAGACCCAGCCACGTTTCATCTTCAATGCCCTTGCTGATGGAAGGAGGTTTTTACTCAAAATCTCACGATACATGGCCCCATTCATTCTTTCCTTTACACGGATCAGTCGTCCTGGTCTCTTTGCAGAAAAACAGCCCCAAAGCATGATGTTTCCACCCCCATGCTTCACAGTAGGTATGGTGTTCTTTGGATGCAACTCAGCATTCATTGTCCTCCAAACACGACGAGTTGAGTGTTTACCAAAAAGTTATATTTTGGTTTAATCTGACCATATGACATTCTCCCAATCCTCTTCTGGATCATCCAAATGCACTCTGGCAAACTTCAGACGGGCCTGGACATGTACTGGTTTAAGCAGGGGGACACGTCTGCACTGCAGGATTTGAGTCCCTGGTGGCGTAGTGTGTTACTGATGGTAGGCTTTGTTACTTTGGTCCCAGCTCTCTGCAGGTCATTCACTAGGTCCCCCCGTGTGGTTCTGGGATTTTTACTCACCGTTCTTGTGATCATTTTGACCCCACGGGGTGAGATCTTGCGTGGAGCCCCAGATCGAGGGAGATTATCAGTGGCCTTGTATGTCTTCCATTTCCTAATAATTGCTCCCACAGTTGATTTCTTCAAACCAAGCTGCTTACCTATTGCAGATTCAGTCTTCCCAGCCTGGTGCAGGTCTACAATTTTGTTTCTGGTGTCCTTTGACAGCTCTTTGGTCTTGGCCATAGTGGAGTTTGGAGTGTGACTGTTTCAGGTTGTGGACAGGTGTCTTTTATACTGATAACAAGTTCAAACAGGTGCCATTAATACAGGTAACGAGTGGAGGACAGAGGAGCCTCTTAAAGAAGAAGTTACAGGTCTGTGAGAGCCAGAAATCTTGCTTGTTTGTAGGTGACCAAATACTTATTTTCCACCATAATTTGCAAATAAATTCATAAAAAATCCTACAATGTGATTTTCTGGATTTTTTTTTCTCAATTTGTCTGTCATAGTTGACGTGTACCTATGATGAAAATTACAGGCCTCTCTCATATTTTTAAGTGGGAGAACTTGCACAATTGGTGGCTGACTAAATACTTTTTTCCCCCACTGTATATATATACAGAAATAAGACAGACCTTGCTTCTGTTGCCTGTTTGAGTGTTTGTTTAATAGTCTACTGATTCCATGAGCACCAAGCCTCATGCAATGGCAAAATGTTGGATAAAGCAATTTCACAGATTCAGCTGTTTTTAATCTTTGCTATACTGTAATAAAGGCTTTTAAAAAAAAAATATTATTCATATAACAATCTGGTATTACATAGAATTTAATTAGCTACACTGTTCCAAACAGGCAGAAAAATTATATTGTAATCTAACAGCACCTGTTTGTCACACATAATATGCACTCAGCTCTAACTCCTATACCCTCCTTTTTCTTGATCTCCAGTTTCCACAACTAAGTCAAATGTCTTCCACAGATCTGACTTCCCCTTTCCCTCCTGAGCAACCAGTAAACATTCGCCCGTTTATTTTTCATGTCCTCCGCATCCATTTTGCTGTCACGTGTTAGTGTTCGGAGCTTGTTATAACCAATTTATTGATGTGATTATGATAGGCTATAGGTCAGGCCCTATTGGTCACATGCATGCGATGCTTACATGTTTCACGTAAAGAGAGCAAGGGTTGAGGGAATAGGGAATGTGTTTCCTAAACACATTTTGGATTTCGGTAACAGAACTTTTCAGTAAGAAACTAAATGGCTGAAATGATGTTGCAGCTTCAGCACGGACAGCGTAATAAACACTTCCTGTGCTGTGGTGCCTTTTCGCTGCAGTAGGGAGGAGAGCGAGACAACGTGCGCCAATCACACAGGCCCTTGCTGTCTTTTTTTTTTAACACAGTGAGTCTTTCTTGAGTCATTTGTGTGTCTTAATTATTTAATCAAACAGTGTGCTTAAAGCATCAGACAAGCTCAGTTTCAACATTTCGACCAATCGATTATTTTTGGGTCGGGACAGCCCTCATTTCCCCCAAAACACGGTTTTCTTGTTTTCAAATGGAGCTGTTTTGAATTTAATTCACTTAATGAACTCCTAATGCCATTCTTCATTCAACTTTCATTTTCCAATGTTAGAATTTATGTGATAGAGAGAAGTGCTCAGTTTTAAACCAACGTTTGACATGTAGATATGTATATTAAAAACCACTGCTCGCCTAGGCACTTAAACAATGTTATACGGTTTGAGATACTCAGAAGAACACTATCATTATCATCTGCTAGCGCATTGTCATTATTTATTTTTTGTGTGTGCGCATCTCGCCCCCACAGTACTGAAGTACATGCAGTTTGTGGAGGACTACTCGGAGCCCCAGCCCTCAGTGTTCTACCAAACACCGCAGAGCGAGAGCATCTACGAGCAACGCAACAAGCGCTTCCAGGAAGTCTACGGCTTCAACGACTCGTATAGCAGCAGCGACTCTGTTCACGAGCCCCTCCCACCCCCGGCACTGCCACCCAAACAGAGGCAGCTGGTGAGCTACAGCCCAACAACTCACCTCACACACTGAAGTCACACCGAGGCCTCACACCCACCAGTAGCACAGCATACAGTACACCAGCCCACCCACACACCTTGAACATGCACATCCATCGCTTACTATGCCTTTTAGCCCAATACATATACATTTAAAGAAACTCATTTTCTCATCATATATTGTTCCAAGTCTGTAGGATGGAGTGGCGAGTGAGTTCATAATGTTTTAGCCCATCCATATATAATAGAAGAAGAAAAGCAGGGTAAATTGGAAGTCCTGAACATCCAAATGACAAGCAATGCTGCAGAGCCCTTGGTAGTGGTAGCACATTTCCCAACTCTACTTCTATACATAAAAATCCATTTCAATACTTTTTCAGCATCAGAATTACAATCAGTGCTATGGTAGAATTGAAATTGCTAGAATTTCTGTCACAGAAAAAAATGTACCCCGATGGCATATGACGATTGGCCTTTTGTACAGACTAGTTCAACACCCTCCATGACGTCCCATCTTACATCCCACCACAGTGCTTGCCTTTGTTTTCATAGTTATTGCCATTGTTGTGATTGTTTGAGACCTCTGCAAGGCTGTATTAGTTCACTTCCCAGATTAAATTCAATGCCATAATCTCTGTACCAGACATTCATGGTTGGAAAAAGTAATTTGCTCTGCAGTTAAAAAAAAAAAAAAATGAAACTGATATAAATGAGTAAATCCATGCTCAAGGTTTATCCACGATTACGAATATTTTTTACGTACTGTATCTAAAGCAGATCAAAATGTGAGAAACATTTCTGCAGGTTTTTTCCCTGTTATTTGGTCTTGGGGATTACTGCATCCGAGTACATATTGGGTGTGGATTAAGACTAATCACATCACAGAATTATCTCGGGAGCAGGGAAAGAAAACAAGGATTGGTTTGAAGCTATAGATGTAGCGATGGAGAGGAAAGGGTGTTTGGGTTTCATGTAATCAAAAATGTGTTTCTGGGCTGGCTGTTGATAAGTCATGTGTACTTTCTGATTGCCGGAATGAATAGACTTCTACCTGAGCAGAAAGCCCACCTATGTCTGGTCCAAAACTGAGAAAGTAGCTAGTTATGTACATTTAGGCCAGTCACGTGCTTTGCACAGTATGTAGACATAGCTTGAACTGCAACAGTAATTATTTGGTCAATTATATACACAATATATAGGATATGGAATCCAAGCTAAAGTGGTTAAATTGCTGTCCAATAACCAGCCGAGTGTGAAAATTGTGTGGTCGATGAATCTCATTTAGGCCTAGCTTTCTCTGGTAAAGCTTGTGGTGTTGCTCGCAGTCGGCTACATGTGGTCTCGGGTCTGAAATGTAATGTATGAGGTAGAGAACGTTTCTACGTTTTCCTTTTTGAAATTACATTGTGTTCAAATTTGCTTTTGATTTACTGTCCAATTTCTTCAGTTTTTTTTGCTTAATTTTCCATTGCACTCATCAAATCTCATTCCTTTTTTCTTTCTGGAAGCCCACTCTCCATCATAGCGATTCATAATACTGAGGTAACAGTAGAATATTAGAGAACGCTTAGGACTACTGTGATTCTATTAACACTTTGTCTGCTGTAACATTATTTTAGTCCATCAAGCCTCTTCTTTCCTGCTGCTTCTATTGTGTGCTTAACTATCTACGTAGACCTACGTCTTCTTTTGTTAACTAACATCTCCCACTGCACTTTATCTCTGAGCCTCTCTCCCTCTACTTCCTTCCCCCACGATCTCCTCCCCCCCCCCCCCCCCCCCCCCTCCAGGCCTCCCATTCAGCGTCTCCCTCTTCCTCGTCCTCATCCTCTCTCTCCTGCCACCTCCAGCAGTCGCAGGCTGCGGTGGTGGAGGAGGCGGGGTCTGCGCTCAGCATGTCCGTCTCTAACTCCTTCCTGAGCCGCCAGGCCTCCTCGACCACCCCCATGGTGAGTGACACTCAATGGGCCTGTGTCTGTCTGTCTGTCTCTATCTCTGCTCACTCTCTACAGTACTTGGCTTCAAATAGTGTTTTTCTTTCTATGACTTTTTCTTTCTATGACCAGGGTTCAACTAGTATAAACCAATACTAGTTGAACCCTGGTCTGCTCCACCACAGACTCTGCTTCTGCTTTAGAACTAATAACAACAATCCAACAAGTTATTTTATTAGCCGTTGTACATGATGTGTTCGGTTACTGATAAGGGAGTATCTTGGGCAAAAAACACACACACACTGACAAACCTACTTTCATTCGCCACCCTCAGCCAGACCTCTCAATGTTTACACACTCCAAATGACAATCTCTGTCAGAGAGAAAGCATGCACTTAACATGGGTTTTTTCATCCAGTGTTTGTGAAATTTGTCACGTACAAAGCATACAAATCAAAGAGTGCATGTTTCAGACCAGTATGAATATTACAGTTATTTGAATCAACTGATGTCGATCCTTTAAAACTAGTGCTTGAACCCCATCCATAATTATTATGATACAAACCTATCAAATGCATGTTCAGTATTATTTTCTGTCTAATTATTTAATTTTGGAGCAATGATGAGGACTTGTTCTTGCTGAATAACGGTTTATCCTTGTTGCACCATTTTGACTTGGTTGCAATTAAATATTGGGATATTCAACAGATCTGAGTTACAACAAGCACATTTTGTGAATATGTAATTTTGAAGAGACTGAGTTGGATTAGGAATTCTAGTCACTGACTAACCAGTCATATACACAATATAGCCTACAGTCATATTGTTCTCTGATGGCAAGAATGCCAATGCTTCTTTCTTCAATTCTTTTTTTCCAAATGTTTTACTCTTTAACCTTCTACATCTCTCAAGTAGGTTTGAACCTAATCTCTCTTTCTCTTTCCCTCTTTTCTCGCCCTCGCTCACTCAGCATAAGACAATTATCCGGTCCTATTCTCAGGACTTTGCGCCTCTCTGCCAGTCTTCCATTCCATATCTCCTCTCATCTGTCTCTTCCCACTCTCCCATTGTCCACCAATCGCAGAGCATGGACCTAGCTGCCCCAGGCACTGGCAGCCCTGACCCTGTGCTGGTGGCCAACGGCTCACTGGACAGCTCTGGTGGCTCTCTTGCAGTCTGCCTTCCCACTGACTCTTCTTTCTCTGACACTCGTCAAACCTCTTTGGTGAGCCCTAGCTGTGTGTTGTGACAAGCGTTTGGCACTGTGCGAGAAGAAAATGGGATTGTCTATGAAGCGTTCGATGGGCGGGGAGTGGGGAGGGAGGGTGTTTTCTACATTTTTACATTTTAGTCATTTAGCAGACGCTCTTATCCAGAGCGACTTACAGTTAGTGAGTGCATACATTTTTCATACTGGCCCCCCGTGGGAATCGAACCCACAACCCTGGCGTTGCAAGCGCCTTGCTCTACCAACTGAGCTGGAGTAAGAGCAGAGCTGGAGTAAGTTACAAAATTGTTTCAATGTCAGGAACGTGATGTTCTTATCCTTGAAAATAGGCCAAGCCTTAAGTAAAAAACAGGCTGTAGCCTATGTATGCTGAGGTGATTGGAACAATTGGTTCTTAGTGGTTTCACTTGAGATTATATAGCTACTTGTTTGTTTTGTCCAGTTTACTGCGAGCAGCTTTCACATTCGCAGTATACTTCTTTTTTTTTTTTTTTACCACATTTGCTTTTTCCCTAGCATCTGTCAATCTCTTTGCTGTCCTCCTTTTTCCTCCGTAGAGTGAAAGCGCTAATGAGGAAGTCGGGGAGGGAGAGTACGTCAATCTGTACTCATCCAGCCAAGCCAACGGAGACGGGCCGCTCTCCTGCCGAGTAAGTAGCCTTAGCAGAGAGGCGGCATGGGAGCGAGGAGAGAGCGGAGAGAGCGGTGTGCTTTCACAGACACGGTGCACCGTGACTGACAACGGACCTCACTAACTAACCCCGTTTGAACTCGACCTGACTTCTCAGGGTTCACCGTCTCTTCGACCGCTTGGCATGCCCTGCTTCGCTAACTGCCCGTACATTACCATGGGTTCTCCTTTCCCAAACCCCTCCTACCACTGGACTGTCCCCATGCCCTACTGTAAGGGCCTATGTGTAGTTTTAGCTCAAAGGACACCAAATTCACCTCCTGTCATTGTCTGAATTAGTTTTTTTTTTATCACGTTCACATACTTGACATTTGGCCGTTAAGGACATCAGTGGTTGTCCCCGACCATTGGGTCAGGTCCAGAGCGTAGTAACTAATTTCAACTGGAAGTATTAATGGTTTTGTGTTTAGTCCCAGTATTTAACTTCTTCCATCAAGCCTTTTATCAGGGAAGATATAATCCAATAAAACGACTAATCACCCAGTTTATTTCTTCAGCCATTCTCACTCAAAGTTCTCCCCACATTAAAAGAAAATTCTGGCCTCTTAGAGCATCTCCTTTTGGGGTGGAGATGGGTATATACAGTGCCTTCAGAAAGTATTCACACCCCTTGACTTTTTCCACATTCTGTTGTGTTACAGCCTGAATTTAAAATGGATTAAATTCTGATTTTGTGTCACTGGTCTACACACAATAGCCCATAATGTCAGAGTGGCATTATGTTTTTCCAAATGTTTACAAAGTAATTAAAAAGGAAAATCTGAAATGTCTTGAGTCAATAAGTAGTCAACCCCTTTGTTATGGCAAGCCTAAATAAATTCAGGAGTAAACATTTTCTTAACAAGTCAAATAATACGCAAAATGACCAGAAGTATGTGGACACTTGCTCGTCGAACATCTCATTCCAAAACCATGGGCATTAATATGCCAGTCAAGTTCCACACCGATCTCGACAAACCATTTCTGTGTGGACCTCGCTTTGTGCAGAGGGGCATTATCATGCTGAAACAGGAAAGGGCCTTCCCCAAACTGTTGCCACAAAGTTAGAAGCTCAGAATCGTCTGGAATGTCACTGCATGCTGTAGCGTTAAGATTTCCCTTCACTGGAACTAAGGGGCCTAGCCCGAACCATGAAAAACAGTCTCAGACCATATTCCTCCTCCACCAAACTTTACAGTTGGCACTATGCATTCGGGCAGGTAGTGTTTTCCTGGCATCCGCCAAACCCATATTTGTCCGTCGGACTGCCAGATGGTGAAGCGTGATTCATCACTCCAGAGAACGCGTTTCCACTGCTCCAGAATCCAATGGCGGCGAGCTTTACACCACTCCAGCCGACACTTGGCATTGCGCATTGTGATCTTAGGCTTGTGTGCGGCTGCTCGACCATGGAAACCCATTTCATGAAGCTCCCAACTAACAGTTCTTGTGCTGACGTTGCTTACAGAGGCAGTTTGGAACTTGGTAGTGAGTGTTGCAACTGAGGACAGACTATATTTACACGCTTCAGCGGTCCTGTTCTGTGAGCTTGTGTGGCCTACCATTTTGCGGCTGAGCTGTTGTTGCTCCTAGACGTTTCCACTACACAATAACGTCACTTACAGTTGACCGGGGCAGCTCTAGCTCTCAGCTCTAGCAGGGCAGAACGAACTGACATTGAATATCCGTTTGATCATGGTGAAGTTATTATTACATTTTGGATGGTGTATCAGTACACCCAGTCACTACAAAGATACAGGAGTCCTTCCTAACTCAGTTGCCAGAGAGGAAGGAAACTGCTCGGGGATTTCACCATGAGGCTAATGGTTACAGAGTTTAATGGCTGTGATAGGAGAAAACTGAGGATGGATCAACAATATTGTAGTTACTCCACAATATTAACCTAATTGACAGAGTGAAAAGAAGGAAGCCTGTACAGAAGAACAAATATTCAAAAACATGCATCCTGTTTGCAACAAGGCACTAAAGGAATACTGCAAAAAATGTAGCAAAGCAATTAACTTTTGGTCCTGAGTACAAAGGGTTATGTTTAGGAAAAATCCAATACACACATTACTGAGTACCACTCTCCATATTTTCAAGCATAGTGGTGGCTGCATTATGTTGTGGGTATACTTGTAATTGTTTAAGGACTGGGGAGTTTTTCAGGATAAAAAAAGAAACAGAATGGAGCTAAGCACAGGCAAAATCCTAGAGGAAAACCTGGTTCAGTCTGCTCTCCACCAGACACTGGGAGATGAGTTCACCTTTCAGCAGGACAATAACCTAAAACACAAGGCCAAATCTACACTGGAGTTGCTTACCAAGAAGACAGTGTTCCTGAGTAGCCGAGTTACAGTTTTGACTTAAATCTACTTGAAAATCTATGTCTAGATCAACCAATTTGACAGAGCTTGAATAATTTTTAAAAGAATTATGGGCAGATGTTGCAAAATCCAGGTGTGGAAAGCTCTTAAGAGACTTGCCCAGAAAGACTCACAGCTGTAATTGCTGCAAAAGGTTATTTTAACATGTATTGACTCAGGGTTGAATACTTATCTAACAAAGATATATTAGTGTTTTATTTTTCATACATTTATTGCAAATGTTAGAATTTTTCTTCCACTTTGACAATACAGAGTATTTTGTTTAGATCATTGACAAACAAATACAATTAAATCCATTTTAGTCCCACTTTGTAACACAACAAAATGTGTAAAAAGTGCAGGGCTGTGAATGCTTTCTGAAGGCACTGTATAGAGCCCCACAGTGGTGTCATAATACCCATAAAACTTAGCAGTCAAACAGGGAAATGGTTCCAATCTTTTTCCACCATACATTTTTCCCATAGGGAATTTAAGAAAAACTTGTAAAAATGGCTGTGTTTCGTGTAAGCTTACCCTGGTGTGACGTTTAGATAACCATGTAAATCTCTCTTGGCATTTCATTTTTGTGGGGTAAATACAAGCGAATATATTGATAAAAGTCACCTTGTCCTAGAGAGATTTACACAGTTATCAAAACGTCAAGCCAGGGTAAGCCCACACAAAACATTTATTTTAAGTGTTTCTAAAATCCCCTAATGGAAAAACGATTCGAACCATTTCCCTGTTTGACCGCAAGGTTTTACAGGTATTATGACTGAGGTACTCTATTACCTGTATATTTACTGTTACACTTGCACTAGAGAAGTAAGGCTGGAGTTATGTGTGTATGCATACAGCATTTGATAATGATAGTGTGTGTGAACTGCCATTACCTGTCTTACTCAAACCTGACTGAACAACTCACTGAATACTAGGTTGCAACCTCCCATGTCCTTAAACAACGTAACGTACAATTACATCTACCTTAACTAAGAAAGCATTTTCACCTTTAACATGACCTCCAGGTAATGTTCATTAGGCACCGAACAGAGGAACATGTACTGAAACGAGGATAGAAATGTCCAATGAGAATCTCACATTTTAGTTTTCCACTTCAAAACATTTCAAATAGTTTTCCATCGCATGCCCTAATGAACATGACCTCAGGCTGCTGGATTTGGTGCGAGACCTGACCCTGTCCTAACCACGTTGTGTGTCATTAGGACTCGTCCGCCATAGATGACTCGCTGGAGGACACTGCCTCAGATAACCCACTGTGCAATAACAAGGACATGTGCAATGACAGGTAAATGCCCATGCCATGACAGACTGTCCCTTCTGTTAGTTCATCATTCTCCATTGTTCCTACTCTCGATTGACAATAGGAAGGATTCGACAATTTGAACAAGTGAACCTATAATGATTTTGATGTTGTATCTTAAATCCCCTCCACCCCTCCCCTTTTCGTTATAATCTTTTTTTTTCTCTCTCAGCCGAAGGCAAAAGTCCTCAGAAGAAGGGCCGAGTAGCGAGGAGACGGATGAGCTTTCCCTCATCGATCACATGGAGATCATGTCCCGGATAACACTGAAGCAAGAGGTAAATGTGCTTCTTAGTTTCTACTATTGATGGTCAGTCCATTTTACCTCGAGGCTCTTTCAGCTCAAGCCGTTTAATCACAGGAGATGCCTCTTTCTGAGGTACTTCATATGAATCTACAAGAAGGATACTCCTAATACTAAATAAGCCTCCACCCCAAAGCTGCTTACAGAGAGCCTGTCCTCTGCTACCCCCTGCCTCTGTAACTCAATCTGTCTGTTACTGTGTATGCGATTACAATCTCACAGTAGGATAAGTATGTGATTATCAGTGAAAAGCTAGAGTTGGCATGGCAAGGTCAGACCAGCTTTAGTAGCACATATATCTCCTTATAGATAACCCTCTCACGGCTAACAAGTCTGGCTTTTCCAAAAATATTTTTCTATACTGTCGGTACGGTTTAGTCAGGATAGTCACTCGTAGGGCTACACTGGGACTCATCACGAGGTCAACACTTAGGCTAATCCTCTCTCCCCGTACAACCTTTCATCTGTCCATGTGATACCAGAGCGACGACGGTCCAGATGTCCGAGCCGGAACGGGGGATATTTTATTAGTCCACGCCACAGAAACAGACCGCAAAGGTATTTATGACCTCCGTAGCGCACGCGCACACACACACACATCCCCCAGAGGAGACTACTACATGCGGTCTGTGTCTGCTCAGTAGGGGCTGTTTCTCCCCAACCTCCTACTTCTATACCTCATACTTACTGGAGTCAACAGGACTGTATGTCATGCTTCTATATGCCAATGTTTTTATGTTTTCATGATTTCTCTCGTTGATTTTGTGATGATTTTGTATTACTGTCAATAATAAGGCTTTTTCCGTATTAGACCCAGACTTTCCTTCCCTCAAATGGAGCTCTGGACAAACGAGAGGATATTTAGTTAATCTCCTGTGGGGTCTTCTTTTCCAGATCTTGTCTTATACTGTGAGGCTTTCCTGACAACATACAGAACATTTATAACCCCCGAGGATCTCATCAAAAAGCTGCACTACAGATATCCTTTCCATGCTTCACATCTCACATGTAGTCCAAGGGCCACCCACGAAAAAAGTTTTCAGAAAAGGCATTCCGTAACCCAGGACTCTAAACTGCAAAGTTGCAACATCATTACGTAGATCATTTTATGAATATGAACACTGTGTGGTTCAAAACGTGTAAAAGTTGCACATTAATTAAATATTATAAATCAAAGGTACAATTTCCAAAGTCATAGCGCATTTTGGGTAATTTCCCCTAGCATGAGGTTGCCATGTTACACCTTGGTTACAATTGTTACACACGTTCCGTTGTCCATGCTTTCAGAAAGCGACGTATGTACTGGACCGGAGAAATCCAGAAATAATACGCGATAAGCTGTTGAAAGGTGGTAAATGGATTTTTCCCAGATGTTAGAACAACGCTTTATGTAACTGTCAGGACCTTGAATGTTTTGAGAGCTGTGTTACCTAGCAAAAGTTGTGCTGTCTTTAGTTTGGCTAGCAGTCTAAAGCAATGATGGCCCTTGTAGGCTAAATACAGATGCCAAAACATCTTATATTAACTAAGAAAACCACTTAAAACATATTTCCTTGTTTCGGGGTTCATCTGGATCAGTGAAGGACCAGGTAACATGTTGCTTGACCTTATGCAAGGATGAACACACAAATAGTTTTGTGTTCTGTGCGCCAGTGTGCAACAAGTAACCGAGGTGAAACAGAGCAACGTCAGAAACGTTTCTAGGGAAATTATCCAAGATCCGCTATGATTTCGATGCAAAAAATCGTAACTTTTATAAAAAATAACAAATTAATGTGCAACTTTTACAAGTTTTGAACCACAGCATTCATATTCATAACAATATCTACGTAATGTTGTTGAAATTTTGCCGTTTCGTTTTCTGGGTCACGGAGAAACACATTTTTGATGGGTTGCCCTTGGACTAATGTGGACAAAAAGAGATTCCTTCAACAAAGCCTGCTTGGTTGAGACAATAGGGAATGGGAAGCAAAATCCCTACGATAGACGTTAACACTCTGAATACTGTAACATTGGAGACCGTTTGTTTCGCTTAACCCCTCCACACATACACCAGATTTAGTCACAGCCCAGACACCTTCAAGAAGAGAGTCAGCAAAAACACCTTCTTCGTTCTGGTCCGTGTGGTGGACGAGCTGTGGTGAGTTCCCTAGGCTGTCATTTGACTAGAAACATGTCTATCAAAAACCTGCACTCTGCAAAGACCATTTTTCATGTCCTACAATGTCAGTGCAGACTTAAACGATTCTTATTTGCATTTCCTTTTGCGAAAGGGGGGAGGGGTTAACTAATCATGATTCATTTTCAATTAAACGCCTCCTTGTGTCTTTTTCCTGTCTTTTTTCTCTTTCACCACCCTCATCCCCTCGGCTTTGGAACTGTGTGTGTGTGTGTGTCAGTCTGGTGGAGATGACGGAGGATATTCTGAAGCAGCTGATGGACTTGGTGTTCAGGCTGGTGTGTAACGGTGAGCTGAGCCTGGCCCGCGTGCTCCGCAAGAACATCCTGGACAAGGTGGAGCAGAGGAAGTTGCTGCGCTACACCCACTCCCTCAGACCACTGGCCGCGCGAGGTGTCGCTGCCAGGTAGGCCCGCCCACACACAATTAGTGAACGAGAATACCGTGACGGCTAAAACCTCACATTTCCTATTGTTTCAGAGATGTTACCATTTGCAAACGCATTTGGAAATGTTCAGCTCCGCAACAGTAACGGAATTCTTTGTTGTTTTCTGAACACCAATGTATCACAGTGTCTAGTTCTAACTCTGGCCATATTTACTTTTTTCATTCCCCCCTGTGTGCGACTTTAGACCGGGGACCCTGCATGATTTCCGCAGTCACGAGATTGCTGACCAGCTAACTCTCCTGGACGCAGAGCTCTTCTACAAAATTGAGGTAGCGCATCCAAGTCTTTCTCCTCCTGCAAATGCTGCCCCCTCCCTAAAAAGTCCTTATTTGTGTGACTCTGTTACCCTCTGCACAGATCCCTGAGGTGTTGCTTTGGGCTAAGGAGCAAAATGAGGAGAAGAGTCCCAACCTCACACAATTCACAGAGCACTTTAACAACATGTCCTACTGGTAAGCCTGCGCCCCACATCTTCTCTTACTCACCACCGTGCTTCACTGCTGAAGCAGGCAGGTCCGGAGAACGTGATTGACAAACTGATGCATCTCTCCTCCTTCGTGTCTCCCTCAGGGTACGCTCCATAATCATTCTGCAGGAGAAAGCCCAGGACCGAGAAAAGCTCCTCCTTAAATTCATCAAAATAATGAAGGTACGCCTGTTTTGAAATGTGGATACTTAAGAATGAGCAAACAGTGGTATTGGGAGGGTTTGTTGAAAAAGCAACAAATTCTCAGGTGCATTTTAAGATGGTTTCCCTTCACTGTCTTGCAGCACTTACGGAAGCTAAATAATTTCAACTCGTATTTGGCAATATTATCTGCCTTGGATTCGGCTCCAATCCGAAGACTGGAATGGCAGAAAACAACCTCAGAGGTGAGTTGAACTGTGTTGTCTAATAGATGTCCATAGATTGCTCTGAAACATTAGTTTAATGTTTATCTTTCCTTCACAGCACTTACTCTAAGATGAGAAATCTACACATTTTGGTGTTGTGTTTGAGGTTAACAAGGATGGGTGTCACTGTTCTGTTCTGTTTACAGGGCCTAGAGGAATACTGCACGTTAATAGATAGTTCCTCCTCGTTCAGGGCCTACCGAGCGGCACTGGCAGACGTGGAACCCCCATGTATACCATATCTGTAAGTCAAACTGCTGGGTTGCAAGGTGTACGCACTTTGTTGTCACAAATGACACAAATGTATTTGCAGGTCTCCAAAATGTATTGCTTACTGTGTATTTCTTGTCTTTATTGTACTGACTGTTTTTGTTTTTGTTTTTTGTACACGACACACAGGGGTCTTATCCTCCAGGACTTGACCTTTGTCCATCTGGGCAACCCTGACCTCATCAATGGGAAGGTCAACTTCTCAAAGCGCTGGCAGCAGTTCAATATCCTGGACAGCATGAGGCGCTTCCAGCAAGTGTACGTATATAGTGGCCAAAAGATCTGGGATAACTATATTTTTAAATATTCCTTGTGGAAAGTAACTATTTTTCCAGGGGAACAAATATTTACTTTGGAGGTGACTACACCTATTTGAATACGTCCCAAAAAAAGTACTACTTTTTAAAACTATTTGAATACAGATCTCAGAAAGTGACTACTTTTCAAAACTATTTGAATACAGATCTCAGAAAGTAACTACTTTTTAAAACAATTTGAATACAGATCTCAGGAAGTGACTACTTTTCTGAAACTGTTGGATTGGCTGCCTTCAACTAATGGCAGGGCTGTATCTGGAACTGCATGTTAAAGATAGAAATATAATTAATAGAGGACACAATCTCCTATACTACTCCAATCTATCTTGATCTACACAATACATTTCTATCTTAAAGTAATTCAAAGCCATTTGCAAACATTGCAAACAGCAAGTTGGATGCTTAGCAAAAACAAGTTTGAACCTCTTTGTCCATCTGAGGGTAAGTGTTCTTGTTTCAAACACACACTATACCATCTTTAAAGGGATTTTCCATCTACCTTGGCTATAGTTGATTCAATAAGGCAGTTTTGGGATATTTTGTTTCCTTTCGACACTTAATAGCCCTATTTTGTTACAGTTAGCATTCTCAGTAACACTTAACATTAAACTGTTCTTGTCCCTGTGTAATAAAACTGTAATTACTTTTGGAGCAAAATTGTATTAACATGTTACATAATACTTTGTTAATTGCATTTTAATTACATAGCAATGAGCTGAGTTTTTGTAACTTCTGTACACAGGAATATTGACTGTTCCTTATTCCACGTATGTAATAACTCACTTATTATGCAATTATAAAGCAATTTCCAAAGTCCTATGTAATAACAATGTTGCTATTGTAATAATCACAAAGTTACTACACATTTAGAACTTGATGATCTTATATTTAGGCTAATTCAACTGTTGTAGTTTTTTGTTCATCAAATATTTGGCAGCCATCAAATATTTTAGTTGTTGTTTTCAAATAACTTGCATATTTTCAAATACCTTCAAATATTATTTGGTTTTCTGAGAGGTATTCAAAATACTTTCAAATATTATTTGTTTTTCTGAGACCTGTATTTATTTTAAAATCAAAGAAAATAGTTGCCTTTTAGTTGAAACTATATGAACTATATTTGACTACCTTAAGTTGGTATTTTCAAATAAACTATCAAATACAACTATTTTCTGCCCATGTCTGGTGGCCAATCTGGCCGTCGCTCTCATACAGCTTTATGTTCAACGCACATTTCTTTCTCCCCCAAAAAATTAATTGGAATTTTAGGATATTTTCCTTGGACTTTTCCCACCTTTGCAATGTTTTAGATGGTGTTTTCCCTCTCTCCCAGGCATTATGATCTGAAACACAACGACGACATCGTCTCCTTCTTCAATGATTTCAGCGACCACCTGGCAGAGGAGGCTCTGTGGGAGCTGTCTCTGAAGATCAAACCTCGGAACATTACGCGGCGCAAAACAGAACGCGAAGAGAAGACATAGGAACTTGTCCCGTTGTATTGGACCTTTGGCCATTTTACTAAAATCATGGAATTACAAGAGACTACAAACAAGTAGAACTGTGAAGGCAGCTAAAAGACTGGGATGGTTTTGTTTTTGTTTTTTACAGGACCTCTCTGACTTGGGATTCTCTGTTTGGGATTGCACTCAGTCCGTGTGTGAGTAAAGCCAGTGGGAGAGACACTGTGCAGTGTTGGAAGGCTCGCAAAAAGATTCCTCATGTTCACCTTTGTGTCACCAACCTCATCCCCCCAATGCCATATTATGGGTATGGTCCAAGCATTACAGGATACGCTAGGGGTTGTCCTCTCACAACCCGCGACATTGTCTTGACTAAAACCTTATCATACTGATGTGGGCCATGGGAAACACTGCCCAATGTCACTCGGTTTAGACTTTTTTATACGGGACACCAGCCCCTTTTTTGCTGCCACAAACTGTGATGCTGTATCGCCTGACATGGCAGAGAACTGCTATGGGTGGTGCAGAACTTTGAGACAAAGACACTCAAATCACCTGGGTCTGTTTCTAGACTGGTGGAAAAATATATTACTGGTGCACATAAAAGACAGAATTGTGTCATTAAAAAACATGTTTTTTCAAGGAAGTGTTGTATGTATGATACTGTCTGAGTGATGCAATGCAGTTTTTCTGTTTTTCTTTAAAAGGATGTGATAATTATACTTCAGAAATGCGGAGAAGTGATACATGAAGTTCATATACAGTGGGGTCTGGAATTATTGGATTCCTTGATAAAGATGAGCAAAGAAGACTGTATAAAATAAACAATGCAAACACTGAGCTATATTGGATATAAATATATTGTGTATAAATTGTCCTGGTACTTGGTAAAGTTCATGATGCCGTTGACCTTAACAAGGCCTCAGGACCAGTGGAAGCAAAATAGCCCCAAAACATCAAGGATCCACCACCATATTTTACAGTAGGAATTAAGTATTTTCTGCATATGCATTTTTCTTTCGAAGGCCAAACCCACCGTTGGTGTGCATGGCCAAGGAGCTCTAGTTTCATGTCATCTGACCATAGCAGCGCCTGGAGTTTGCTAAACATTGGCACTTGGATTGGAGCCGGTGCTATGGTCATATGACACAAAAATAGAGCTCCTTGGGTTTGGCCTTCAAAAGAGCAATGCATATGCAGAAAATACCTCATCCCTACTGTAAGATATGGTGGTGGGTTTTTAAACGTTATGGGGCTATTTTTCTTCTTGTTAAGGTCAATGGCATCATGAACTTTACCAAGTGCCTGGTTGCCTCTGCCAGGAGGCTGAAACCTTGCCGCAAGTGAATCTTCCAGCAAGACAATAATAATCCATAAAGAAATTGTTAATTGACCACAAAATCAACATTTTGCAATGGCCATCTCTGTCTACAAATATGAACCTCATTGAAAACCTGTGGTTTGAATTGAAGAGGACAGTCCATAAACGCAGATGAAGGATATCAAGGATCTGGAAAGATTCTGTATGGAGGAATGGTCTAAGATCCCTCCCAACATGTTCTCCAATCTCATAAAGCATTTTAGAAAAAGGCTGTGTCGTTACCATCGCAAGGGGAGGGTGCTGGAGTATTGGAAACGGGATCCAATCATTTTGACCCTTCTTTTATTTATTTTTTTAACAAAATCTAATTCTCTGAGCAATTGTATTAGTATAAAACAATTTTTTATAATTGTTTGGCATTTATACAGTCTTTTTTGCATATCTTTATCAAGGGATCCAATAATTGCAGACCCCACTGTACTTGCACTTAAAAATCAAATGAACAAAAAAGTGATGTATGTGTCAAGGGAGCTGTATATACCAGTGAACATTAGAAACATTACAGCAATCAGAAGTGGACCTGGTCGACATCCCTCTACTGTTTTTTCTGGATGGTGAATGAAGGCCTTTTATACTGAACAAAAATATAAACACAACATGTAAAGTGTTGGTCCCATGTTTCATGAGCTTAAATAAAAGATCCCAGAAATGTTCCATAGACACAAAAAACGTATTTCTCACAAATTTGTTTACATCCCTTTTAGTGAGCATTTCAACTTTGCCAAGATGATCCATCTACCTGATAAGTGTGGCAAATCAAGAAGCTGATTAAACAGCATGATCATTACACAGGTGTACCTTGTGCTGGGGACAATAAAAGGCCACTCTAAAATGTGCAGTTTTGTCTCACAACACAATGCCACAGATGTCTCAAGTTTTGAGGGAGCGTGCAATTTGCATGCTGACTGCAGGAATATCCACCAGAGCTTTTGCCAGAGAATTGAATGTTAATTTCTCTACCATAAGCTGCCTCCAACGTCATTTTAGAGAATTTGGCAGTACGTCCAACCGGACTCACAGCCGCAGACCATGTGTAACCACGCCAGCCCAGGACCTCCACATCTGGCTTCTTCACCTGCGGGATCATCTGAGACCAGCCACTTGGACAGCTGATGAAACTGTGAGTTTGCACAACCATACGTCTCAGGGATGCTCGTCTGTGTGCTCGTCGTCCTCACCAGGGTCTTGTCCTGACTGCAGTTTGCTCACCTTCAATGGCCACTAGCACGCTGGAGAAGTGTGCTCTTCACGGATGCATCCCGGTTTCAAATGTACCGGGCAGATGGCAGACATGGCATCATGTGGGTGAGCGGTTTGCTTATGAACAGAGTGCCCCATGGTGGCGGTGGGGTTATGGTATGGGCAGGCATAATGAACACAATTGCATTTTATCGATGGCAATTTGAATGCACAGAGATACCGTGACGAGATCCTGAGGCCCATTGTCGTGCCATTCATTCGCCACCATCACCTCATGTTTCAGCATGATAATGCACGGCCTCATGTCGTAAGGATCTGTACACAGCTGAAAATTCCCAGTTCTTCCATGGCCTGCATACTCACCAGACATGTCACCCATTGAGCATGTTTGGGATGCTCTGGTTCGACGTGTACGACAGCGTTTTCCAGTTCCCGCCAATATCCAGCAACTTCGCACAGCCATTGAGTTGGACAACATTCCACAGGCCACAATCAACAGCCTGATCAACTCGCGCTGCACACTAGGTATTGACTGGTTTTCTGATCCACACCCCTACCTTTTTTTAAAGGTATCTGAGACCAACAGATGCATATCTGTATTCCCAGTCGTGAAATCCATAGATTAGGGCCTATTGAATTCATTTCAATTGACTGATTTCCTTATTTGAACTGTAACTCAGTGAAAAACTGTAACTCATGAAATTGTTTCATGTTGCGTTTTATATTTTTGTTCAGTGTATATCGCAACTACAAGATGGCACATTAGCACTATTATCCCTTGACAGAATCAACCCTACCAGACCACACAGATCCCTGTACAAATAAATAAAACCTGCAGTATTTCTACAGGTTCTGTGGGCATTATTTATTCTCTCTGCCATAGTGTTACCATGCAGTGTGCACTTGCATGTTATCAAGTAAGCATAGAATGAATGAAGGGTCACTGGAGGTTTTCCTTATGAATAAAGCATATTTCTAATCAGGCCTTAAATACGACAGTCAGAAGCTCAGTCAGAACAACGGGGAAAAAATCAGTTCTGCTACATTGGACCATTTTCTCCTCACTTGATTGAAGCTTTTTGAGTCTTGAATTGATTGCACCCTCTAGCGCTGGCGGTAGCGTTATAGGTTTGGTGTCAAATATTGTTGATATTTTCACAACTGGAATTATGGGTGCAGTAGCTGGCGGTGGCGCGAAAGGGCTGGGTTTTGATGAATAAACAAGTTGTGTGTCGAGGCTTGGCCTCTCACTGGCCAATCAGAATGTGCTCCATGGCTAAATATGTAGTTGCTTCAAGTTGTGTATTTACGGTATTTTATGTATTGTGTTGTCATCAACTTTAATTCGAATGTTATTCAGTTTATGGCCTAGTTCATTAAATAGTCTGCCCCATATTTGCTAAATATGTTGAACATGTTTGCAGTCCACATTGTTCTAATTGCATTGCTTCAATATGGAAATACGTTGCATTCACAATGATCTAGGGGCTAGGCCTACTGGAAATTGCAGTATGGACATGCCAAACATCAAGATTAAATCCACTAGACTATTGATAAGTCCTAAAAAGACAGTATATAATTATAAAAAATTATAATAAAAACGAAACCACTTGTTTTAAATAGGCTATGTCTAAATACAGTTACAGGCACCATCATTTCTACCTGTGGGCGTATAATACAGAAAGGCAACTTAGACTATGGAGGGTTTTACGCACATACAAACTTTTCACAGGGGCTGGATAAAGATCCAATATAAAGAGAAAGGAGGAATGTCCACTCACCATTATACTGCTCGGAAATGTTTTATAAACATAATGGAACCATCTTACAGATCATATTTGCACTTCTCAAGAAATGGCGAGGAGAGCCATGTACAGGTGTGTTCTCACCATGAACCCATGGACGGAGAATCTTTCTAATAAGTTTGGTTTTTAATCAAATTAAACAAAATAAAAATGATATTTTTTTAAACCAACAATAATTCTAAATGGGATTGTGTCAGAAGCATGATGATATACAGTACCAGTCAAACTTTTTTACACACCCACTCATTCAAGGGTTTTCTTTATTTTTACTATTTTTTACATTGTAGAATAATAGTGAAGACATCAAAACTTTGAAATAACACATATGGAATCATGTAGTAACCAAAAAAGTGTTAAACAAATCAAAATATATTTTATATTTGACATTCTTCAAATAGCCACCCTTTGCCTTGATGACAGCTTTACACACTTTTGGCATTCCCTCAACCAGCTTCATGAGGTAGTCACCTGGAATGCATTTCAATTAACAGGTGTGCCTTCTTAAAAGTTAATTTGTGGAATTTCTTTCCTTCTTAATGCGTTTGAGCCAATCCGTTGTGTTGTGACAAGGTAGGGGGGTAAACAGAAGATAGCCCTATTTGGTAAAAGACCAAGTCCATATTATGGCAAGAACA